TTTTATTAACAAAACAAATAAAAATACACCATGCTATAGGGCAGGCTATGCCTAATATAAAATAACAAATAACTTACAGAAAGTTTAAGTAGGTATACAAAACTGGAAATAAGTAAACATGTATAATATATAACCAAATAAATAAGAAACTTAGAAAGTTTATTAGCTAAACGAATAAGAAAGCTTGGAGGCAAGGCATACACCTTGATGTCAAATAAAATAAATAAATTACACAAAGTTTAAATAAAGTAAAAATCAGCAAACACTGTGGAACCAATTAAATAAGAAATGAATGTTTAAAAAAACTTCCAAAATCACCTTAGATAAACAGCAAAAGTCAACAGGCTTTTCAAAATCCCAAATACTGCCAAACAGGCACTTTTGCATTTTCGTTTCGAAACTAAATCATTCGCGATCGTCTTGTCTGTTTCACCCCACTCTTCTTGTCAGTCAGCTCGACTCACTCTCCTCACTGGATAAATTAAATCTGATCTGTGATGCGACTGTCGATCGTCACGCTGCATTGAGCAGCCACGTTCAGTTTTTAATTGTAGTGTCTGTTCTTTTACTAAACTAAATTATTTTTATTACTATAAAAAATCTAAACGACGGTGGGGGTCGGTGCCGCGGTGGGCAAGTGACATAACCGGTGTTGCGGCTTATCAACGGTATCACCATCAGCACCGTCTATCGCGGCAAGCCTAGATCTTACCTGTTGAGCCAGTGTCCAAAGTCGGGCAGGTGCGCCCACTGCACTCCGGTCTGATTCAGTGACCTCAGCAAGCGGCAGCAGGTCAAGGTCAGCAGTGGGGTCGCCAGCGCCAGCCATTTCTCTGAGACCCAACTCATTCCCAGCTCCACCGCCGGGGAGAATGACGGTCCTTCTTCGGTGCTGGAGGGAAGCAAAGGCCCCTCGTCCTCCTCCTCACCTCGATGCCTCTGTTCCCTGAAGTACTTCCTGCAGATGTCCTGGAAGATGGCCAGGCACAGCGTGTTGAGCAGGAAGTACCAGGTCTGGTGCTCCTCCTCTATGAAGCTGCTGGAGCCCAAACTCAGGGTGTGACCCACCGTACCGATCAGCAACAGAGTGTCCAACTCCGACAGAGTCCAGTCAGAGCCCTAGAATGAGGGAGAGAGGTTACTATTAGCCTCCTTGTTTCAAACCTAGTGAGTTGCCTCGCTGTTTACTACTCCCTACATAGGCAGCTACCTTCTAAGGCAGCATAATAACTGAAATGGAGCCTCATAAGTGACTGATTTGGAGATTTACACAGACAGCAACTCTGTATATCAAAGAAAATAGTTGATTCACAGAAAATACACAGCAAAAACACATGCATAAGTTACTGATTGAACTAGTTTTATTAATATAATTTTCAGTACTGATTGAAATATGCTTAATCAAGAGGATTTCTAGGATATTTTTCTTCCATTGAGCTTCTGAGATGGACTTGAGTTGGTAGGATTTTTTTTTTATTATTTTTGAAATTTCTTATGCTCATTTAATTGTTTAAAAATACAGTAATAACTGCAAAATTTTGAAATATTTTTTACAATTTATAACATCTGTTTTCTTTGTGAATATATTGTAAAATGTATTCCTGTGATGCAAAGCTGAATTTTCAGCATCATTACTTTAGTCTTCAGTGTCACATGATCCTTCAGAACTCTTTCTAATATGCTGATTTGCTGCTCAAGAAACATTTCTTATTATTATCAATGTGGAAAGCAGTTGTGCTGCATCATATTTTTGTGAAAAACCATGATGCATTTCTTTTTCCAGGATTCTTAGATGAATAGAAAGCTAAAAAAAAAAATATTGTAAGCTTAATGAATTTTTTTTTTTTAAATCAAAACATTTGCTGTTTCTTCTGAGGAGCACAAATGATAAATGCAATCATGATACATGTACCAAAGAAAGTTAGCACGCAGTTTCTTCCACTTCTTTGGACATTTTATATGGCACAGAGCATGCTGTGCCTCCAATTGTTGCAACACATTCACTCCAAACATCCCGTCATCAACACATCATGTATGGCCATCTTCCATACAGACAAAAGTTTGCACAAAAAAACAAAACAATACAAGCAGTCAGATGTGAAGCATAGAGAGAGAAATGGAGTGGAAAAGGTGAAGCGGTGAGAGTTGAAAAGGGCAAAAACCACAAATAACCGAAAAATATGACAGTTTGTGACAGTAAAACGCTGCTGACACTGAAGTCACCGCTGTCCAACACTGTAAAACAACTCTACAGACAGCACTTTGATGTGTAGAGCCCTGAGCTAACATACAAACACACACACACACACACACACACACACACGAGGTGAGAGCGCATGTTGTGTTTCCCACAGTGTGTAAGTGCAGGGCTGCTGGGAGCAGAGCAGTGTTGACTCAAAGGGAAAGTGCTAACATCCACACACACACACACACTTCTCTGGGGAATCCTGTACCCTGGTCGATTTCTTCACAATCACGCACAATGGTAAGTGATCAAAATCAGCCCAACTTAATGCACAATTCTGGTCTCATTACGAATGATTCATCACTGCCTGCTATTCTGAAGACACAAATGTTTGTTTTCATTATCTTTCATTCAAATGTAATCACAATCTTTTGCATTCCGAAACAAATTTTCTTTTCTTCTAATCGCAGACGCACAGCGGACAAAAATATTATTAACCAACTATATTTTTGTGAACAAAATGTGAGTACTGCAGTGGCAGATTTTTTCACTAGGTGTAATCAAATTAAAATCAAGTGACAATATCTGCCAGTGCATATTACATATAAAATATAAATAATAGAATATATAAGAAAACATAATAAAAATCTAATAAAACAACATTTTTTTGTGAAAAACAAGCCCAATATATAAAATAATAAAATAAATAAATACATAAAAATAATACATTATAAGAAGAAAATAAGAATATATATTAAATGTTACATTTATAAATATATATTAAAAAGTCATTATAATAATTATATTTTATTCATTATATTATTAGTAATTTTTTACAGTACACTAAAGATCATCTCATATAACATCACAGGATTATATCAGTTATTATTATACACTAAAGCTAAAACTATTTTAAAATTTTTTGTTAATTTAAATAATGCTGATATAAAATAAAATTTAGTGCCATTTTGGAGAGTATCCACTGAACATAAACAGCGTATGCTATTCTGTGTCAGCTGCATCACGCCGGATCTGTTTCTTACGTTGTTGTGATTTGATCTGAACGAAAACAGCGTATCCGTGTGGTGCGGCTGACACAGAACAACATACGCTGTTTGCGTCCAGCGGATACTCTCCAAAATGGCACTACGGTGACACAGAGGAGACGAATTGTTGAATAAAGTCTTTTTTTTTTTTTTCTTTTGCGCACAAAAAGTATTCTCGTAGCTTCGTAAAATTACGGTTGAACCCCTGATGTCACATGGATTATTTTACCGATCTCCTTGCTATGTTTCTGGACGTTGATCGTGTAAGGACCCTTGCTGTCTATGGGAGGGTCAGAGAGCTCTCAGATTCCATCAAAAATATCTTCATTTGTGTTCCGAAGATGAACGAAGGTCTTACGAGTTTGGAACGACATGAGGGTGAGTAATTAATGACAGAGTTTTCATTTTTGGGTGTACTAACCCTTTAAGTAAAATCCCTTTTCTAGTATTTTTTCCTTAACACAATATCTTAATATAGAAATTAATTTCTTAGATTCTGCATGTTCTAGCAGGTGATATTGCTTCAAATCATGAAACAGGTTAGTGTTCCCTGACTTTGATGGCACGAGCCTTTAATACATGTCTACATTAATAGTATAATAAAATTCCATATGTATGTCCCACATTGTTCATGGCATGTGTGGCACCATTAATGCTGTTTCGCTCCGCTTTTGGCACATAAACAATAGAATGTGTTATCGTTTTATCGAGTTATTATTGTGATAATTATCATTAATGTTTTATCACCCAGCCCTAGTCCCTCTCTACTTTACTTCCAGTGAAAAATCAGTTTCCCTCACATTACTGAAGTTAAATGTGCTGTTCTTGCTCAGTTCAAACAACAGACAGTATTTCTAAGTGATAAACAGCATCTCAGCAGCACACCGTTTGCTCTGATAACGCAATACTAATTGGTCGCTCTGTGGCTTGTTGCGTGTGTGTGTGTGTGTGTGTGTGTGTCCCTGGTCATGATGGATACGACCATGTGCAGCCTTGATGTGTGTTACCATGGGGACCGGTCACATCTCACCGGTGTGACAAGGCCTCGCCACGGCAACCATTCATCCCATTCATCACCCGGGCAACACCTGGGTGGAAGTCATCCGGCGGGGGAAATGGATTGTGTAAGCAACTTGTGTTTGTGTAAACACCGTCTGGGACAAACTCGCTCTCGCTTCTCATTTCTGCGCAAACCGTCTCTCTTTACTTTTTCGCTTTTTCATATTGTCGGTCCCATCGAAGGGAATATTGGGATCCACGACCAAAAAGCAGCACAAATGCATCAGGAGTTTGTTTTCTGGGCTGCGTTCAGGTCTCCGATGGTTTCATCATTGCAGGAGCGAGCGCTGAGCTAACGGGGCCACGCGCAGTAATCTATATGCTAATCCAGAAACAGACAGAAATTCCCTCTGACGACAGGCTGTGTGTGTGTGTGCCTCACCATCAGCTCATGTGCAACTAAACAGCCTGTATGTTTCTTTAAAGTAGACATATTGTACAGTATTGTATGCTTTCCCTGAAGTCCACTTATAATGTTACACTTTCTGCGCTGTAAATGGGTTTTTCATGAGCATTTTCCACCCTCTCTCTCTGACCCGTACAATTAAACAGCCTGCTTTTGCTGTTTTTGAGGTCAACATGAAACAGCATTTACAGCCTATTTTACTTCTGCAATGCGAGTAGAACAGATTATTTATTTAGGAAAAAAAAAGTACTTTTATCCATCAGGAACTGAAGTGTACAGTGCGTGTTTCATAACTGAATGAATCTAAGATGAATAAAAATTTGTGTTAATTTTGTCAGCTATTTTTAATTTAGTCTTAGTCCGGTGTCAAATATAACTTAGTTTTTACCATATTTAGTCAACTTGTCCAGTTTTAGTTTTAGTCGACTATGTTCACCATGTTAGTTTAAGGCTATGTTCACACTTGGCAAGCTGTCAGCATCTGTTTTACATTATAATCCTATGGAGTAAACAGGCCCGTAACCAGCTATGAGGCCACCGAGGTCCAGACCTCGGTAAATTTTTCATGTTCAAAAATAAAATTTGTTCTTTGAATGACTAATTTGCTGTTAAACTCCTCATATGAATGCCTGCATGACATGTATAATTCAGTTAAGACAGTTTGCAAGAATGTTTAGCGTCCCTGGTATGAAAAGGATCGCTGCGAGACGTTGACGGAGTGAACGAGGCTTGAGAGAGTTGTTGTGAGTGAGGGCGCGGGCGCAGCGTGTTGCCAGATCCAGCTATTATAAGCGTTTTTGGACTTGTCTTTTTCACTTCATTTAAAACTTTATAAAGTTAATAAAGAAGGAAGTTGCAGTTTAGAGTCACCGATATCTTTATCTTATCTTATTTGCAAAAGATTTGAAATTATTTTGGTTTATTTTTAGTTTTAATGTTTGTTTTAGTATCAATATCTGGCAACACTGCACCGCCGGCACTTAAACTGAAAGCAATCAAAAAAGCCCATGGACAGGCTTTTGCTGACAGGATACGACATTCGGTAAGGGAAATGCAAAAATTATGATATTATCTGTCATAAACGTTATCAACGCTGTCAAAAACAGGAGCATTTAACACTAGTACACACAGATCTGTAGAACAAGTAGGTTACAGAATGAAATGAAATATGCAAAAACTAGCCATGAAGAAGTCTATGCTATGTCATTCAGTATAGTTAAATTTTCACAAATCATGCTATAAACTTGCATAAGAGCACTAGACAAAGTTATTGTAGTTATATATTGTTGCAATAAACAACTGATAAAATTATCCACCCTTAAATATAGTAAAGTATTAACAGATTTTGATGCAATAAATAGGGTATGATTTAAAAAATAATCATTCCTCCAAAACAGAGAAAACATCTTTCACAAACATCTAC